CCGAGGCTGTGCAGGGACAGTGGAGAAGGCCTCGGCCACCCAGGGCCGGGGTGTGGTGGGTGGCCCCCTGAGAAGCCTGCAGCTGCCACATTGGGCACAGCATCCTGGGCAGGAGATAATTAAGTACCACGGCCACCTGCACCACTCTGACCCTTTAAGGCCCATGTCAGAGCCCCCCTTCTGACATGAAAACTTCTTCAAAGGCAAAATAAAGCAAGACAAATGGACGAACTATCAAACAAGCACACCCTTACTCCGTGCTCAGCTTGTCCTGGCTTCTCTTTCCTCTGACTCGCCCGGTCCAGACCGGGCAGGTGGGACTCTCCACCGTCTTGCATTTAAATCATTTCAGGTCTTTTTCCATGGGTTTCCAGGTAGGACACGATCCCCCCAGGGAACTGCATGTCCCCTACCTGTCTGAGAAGCACAGGAGCTCCTTTCAGAAGTGCTGGTGGTGGGGGCAGGCTGTGCACTTGGCCTCGGGCAGGCAGCGGGCATCTGCCCACACTTCACCCTTCTCTCCCTGTTCGGTTGGTCTCCCCACTGGTCATTCCTTGTGCCATTTGCTCAGCTTTTCCTCACCTCCTCTGGCCTCTCGATGGGAATGAAACACACAGAGAAATTTCCGTCCTTGCATCTATTCAAGGAAGAAACTACTCTCTGCCTCCTGCCTTCACAGCTGTCCCCTACTTGTCATAAGGACACTGATGGCCCTGGAGGACCTGAGGGGCTGCTCAGTGGTCGGTCATAGTCAGACACTCAAGCCATTTAAATGGTCAGTCCTTTTTTTTTTCTTTCTGATGCTTTACAAATTAAAAGCCACCGGAGCTCATGGATTCTCTGAGCGGCTCATTCTGTCAGCATCCCTGGAGGTGGGGTGCATCTCACCCCCCAAGGAGAGCTGCGGTCTCTTCCATTGGAACCACTTGCAGTTCTTGGCTTGAGTGCTTCTGGGGACCACATTCGCAATGTGAACTGAGGCTGCAAACCTGCGTGAGGAGAAGCATGTGGTTCCGACCCTCAGTGTGGTGTCTCCATGCTGTCCCTCACGGCTACCTTACTTGTCACCTGGACCCAGGCTGGACCCCTGAGTGTGCTGGTGTCCTGAAGAAGTCTCTGAAAAGACCCTCCAGTCAGGCCTCTGTTTCTTTCTCAGGGACACATAAAACAGAGCTGTACCTTACAGTCCTCCATGGCGTGTGGTCCTCTGCAGACCAGAACTCCCCATCCCCTGCCCGTGCTGGGGGCACAGAGCAGTCACTCTGTTAGCAAACTCCAGTGTGGTGCAGCCACTGAGCATCCTTCTTTGGACCAGAACACAGGTCCACCAATGCCAGAGGGCAGTGGCAGGCCTCCCACACGTTCTGAGTCCTCCCAGCACGCTCAGCTGGGTTGTCGAAAGAAAGCGCCCACCAACACACCAACAGGACAGATGGGGCCTGGCTGCAGAGCGAGGCTGGGCGTGTGAACCCTGGAGTAGTGCGGCCTCAGCGCCACCAGGAGGCAGCTCCGGATGAGGTGAACAGGCTGGTGGGACAGGGAAATCCTGTGTGTTCGTAGTGTTCTTTCAGGGTCCCGGGAGCAGAGACGCTAGCGGACTTCAGGCGATGGGGATTAATTAACCAGGGTGCGGACAAATGGGAGGAAGCAAAGGGCAGCTTCCTTGGCCAGAGGGATTGGAGCACGAGCCAGCAGGTGGGACAGGTTTTGGCCCCTTCCTGCTGCCCTAGGTTTCTGCACTGTGGACTCCTGCTCTGCCTTCCTCAATTCCCGGGAAAAAAGAAAGACCAAGTGTTAGGCCAACTTTGCTAAAGAGAAGCATCTTTGGGTGCTGCTGAGAACGGGCCGAGCTGTGGCACAGGCCTGTGGTGCTGCCCAGGCGGGAGCAGGCCCCTGGGTTCGCCGATGGGGCTCCAGAGACGAGCTGATCCTGTTTATGAAAAGCCAGGCTTCAGCACTGGCTGGCGTAGCTTGGTGGATTGAGTGCAGGCCTGGGAACCAAAGGATAGCGGTTCGATCCCCAGTCAGGGCACATGCCTGGGTTGCAGGCCAGTTCCCAGCAGGGGACACACAAGAGGCAACCACACATTGATATTTCTCTCCCTCTCTCTTTCCCTTCCCCTGTAAAAGATGAATAAATAAAATCTTTTTTAAAAAAAGAGAAAATCAAGGCTTCACTCTAAAAACGAAACATGCGATGGAGAGAAAGGGAAAGAAAGGAAGTCATGTTTACTTCATAAAACTTATTTCAATCATGTTTCATTTACAAAGGTGTTCCTTTTAGGGCACCTTTAAAAGTCTGTCCTCTCATCCTACATTTAAGTCACTTGGTTTGCGGTCGTTAGGGATTTACAAACGTCTTCCCCCCATGAAGGTGGAAATGATGGGACTTACTGTGAGAAAACCTGTAATAGAATCGTTCTCCAAAAGGGCAAGAACTGGTTTTATATATTATTCTTACTGTCATTTAATTTTTTCTTTAAGGCAATAATATTGTTTATATGATTAGAACTTAATACGAGGGTTCAGCAAGCTGGCTAGATACATAATATCCAAAAGCTGTTCATTAGAAATAACCAAATAGGAGATAAAATAGGAAAAAAAAATCTCATTCAAATAAAACTACCCAAGACCTTTATGGGGAAAGGCAATAAACCTTTTATACCAAGATGGTGCCAGGAGATTCCTTGGGAGGGGACTCCTCTCAGCTGGTGGCTCCGTGGCAGTCTCTGCTGTGTGACCCAGGGAGCAGGCCCTGACACAGAATGACGAAAGCCACCAGTGTTTTGGCATGGAACTGAGAGGTCCCTGACCAACTGGGCACTCAAGTTCCTGAGAATTCAGAAGTGATCTAATGACGGAAAGAGGAAGGTGCTGGAGGCAGCGGCGGTAGGGTCCCTGGGGGACAGGACACAGCTGGAAGCCAGTCCAGGGACAGTGGGTGGAAATGCAGGCGGTGGCAGGGTGGCATCAGCAGTTGGTGTGGACCTCAAAATAGCCCAGAGTCCTGCAGAAGGGCAGGGACAGCTGGTCCGGAAGCAGCGCTAGAGGGCAGCGAGGCCGATGAGCCACATCCAGACCTGAGATCATGGGACGAGAGAGAGAGACAAGGTGTACCCGTGAGGCACACTGATGACACCCCTGTTGACGAGGAGCTTACACTCTAAAGAATGTAAGTGGCTGCAATTGTTACTTGTTCCCACTCACCTCACCTTCCCGACCAGCCCCTGGGATCCTCAGTATTGGTGTATATGTATTCACAGCAGGGTTGGGAAGGCTGAATACTTTTATATTAAAATATGTGTGTGTGTGTGTGTGTACACATATACCTGCATAGGCATATAAACAAACACAGAATGGGAGGTGACATGATGAGGGATGGGTGGATTTAGGGTTAGAGCAGTGTTCATCAACTGCAGCACTCGATGTTTTGGGCCAGAGAAGCCTTTGCTGTAGGCACTGTCCTCTGCATCAGAGGACATTAGGAGCCTCTGGGCCTTTGCCCACTGCCCAGCCATGACAACCAGACACATCCCCAGCCAGTGTCCCCCGCTGAAAACCAGCAGGTTGAAGGTGTGGTTAGAGAATGAGCACAGGACATAACTCAGATGAACTTGCAAAACTCTCAGCCTCCTGTCTGTGGCCCTGACGGCATTCCGCCAGGTTCCTCTGAACTTGCGTGTAAGCGCAGCGGTTTCTAACAGCAACCTGCTACTGGCTCATTCCGAGTTGGCCGTGCAGCGGATGTTAGCAGCAACATTGCTCTGCAGGGAAGTGCTGGTGGTGGGTGAAAAGGGGTGTCGCCTGCCTTCTTCTGAGACTTGACCTCCAGCCTTTCCTCAGCCCCATGTTCTCCATGTAAAAATGTGGTCTGTACGACGAGCATGAATCTTCCTTCAGGAAGCTATGTCTCCACTCAAGTGTATCGAGGACTTAAAATACATAATCAGCACTGTCTTTATTCAAGGGAAGGACTATCTAATATATCACTTATTAATACCAAGACTAGGTTCAGTAATTTTGCTCCTGGACATTTGGTAATTTGGACATTTATCTCAGTATAAGTTATCTCAGTATAATTTGGACATTTATCTCAGTATAAGTTATGAATATCAGTCAACACACAAATTAAACTGGTTTTCAAAATATTTAAAAAAATAATACAAGACAACAACAAAATAACTCAACTTAAAAAATGGGGAAAGGACTGAGATATTTCTCCAAAAGAAGGTATACAAGTGGCCTATAGCATAGAAAAAGATGCTCACGTCACTGTCATGAGGGAAATGCAACTCAGCGCTGCAGTGAGGCATCCCCGGACACCACACAGGCTGGTTTCTACAAAACCACACAGAAAACAGCAAGTACTGGTGCATCTGTGGAAAGATCGGACACGTGCGCGCTGCTGACCGCAGTGTCACGTGGCACAGCTACTGCGGAAGGCAAACAGCAGGGCAACTCCTGGAAGTACTAAAAACAGAATCCTCACACTTACCTGGCCACTCCACTTCTGGAGAAGTGCCCAGAAGAGCTATAAGCAAGGCACGGGCAGGCATCTGTCTGCACGCCGCATTTGCGGTGGCGCTGTTCTCTGGGGCCCACTCGGCAGTGACTGAGCAAACATGTGGTCTGCAAGTATCATGGAATAGTGCTCCGCCTTAAAAAAAGGAAGTTCGGACACACGCTGCAATATAGATGAACCTGTGGACATGACGCCAAGTGAGACCAGCCAGTCACGAGAACACAGACACCGTGTGACTGATTCTACTGGCGTGAGGTGTCTGGAGCAGTCAGATTCACAGAGAGCAGGGGTGGTTGCTGGGCTGTGGGGGGAAGGGGGTTACTATTTCCTAGCTACGTAATTGCAGTTTTGTGGTGGTGGTTACCTAAGACGTGGAAGCACTTAATGCCAATAAGCTGTACACCTAAAAATGGCAAGGACAGTAAATTTATGTTATGTGTATTTTACTACAATTAAAAAAATGACAGGAAATGCTTAGCCGAGTTTAAGGCAATATTTATTCCAATTCCTCGCAATGATATTATATTACCTAAGGCGTAAGCGGTGATTACTTGGCAAGGACACCACTCCTCTGAAGCCTCGACAGCTGGGTGTTAGTGCAGAAATACAGCACATTCAGTGGAAGCCCAAGAGCCCTGATTCAGGCACGGGCTCTTCTGGTGAAACTCAGTCGCTTTCGGTGGCAGCTGTTTCCACAGCTGCCCTCGAGGTCGCCGGGTCACCGTGGGCAGGTCACCGTGGCCGGGCCACGTGCAGTGAGAGTGGCCGTGGCCAGCCCCACGCTCTCAGGCCATGCTCTCGATGATGACTGCGATGCCCTGGCCGCCTCCAATGCAGGCTGATCCAACGGCGTACTTTCCACCCCGACGCCTGGGGACAACAGCAGTGGCTGAAATCGACTCAGTCTACTGAAGTAATTAGGTAACTCTTAAGTTGAATTACTAATGGTCACATTTGTATTATTCATTTGCATTCATCCCATCATCTCAATATTTTCCTCACCCTTCAGTATGATAGTCACAACAGGAGAGAATTAGGAAAGCTGAATATTAAAGAAAAAGCAGTGGTGGCGTGCTGGGACACTGGTGTCCCACCCACACTTAAAGAGATACCACGTGAAAGTCAGCAGTCGACGACCGGTGAACTGATGGCTGAGCCCAGGAACACCGGTGCTTGAGGCTGAAAATAAGCACCACTCGCCCAAGTGTAAGACGACCGTCCAGGCGACCGACAGCGGTGTCGTTTGTCAGCCTGCTCACGCCCGTCCAGAAGGAGATCATGGCGGTCTGTGACCTCTGTCAATGAACTTCCCACACGTGGCGTGCAGCTGGCCTGACAGGTCGCAGGCTTCTCGGTAGGACTGGTGTGGACGAGGTCTAGAAGGGCCAAGTGCAGATGACTCCAGGTGAACACCACGTGGAAAGCACCGCTGACTGGCCTGGTGCCTTCACCTGCTATGAGCTAGATGCAGGGCTGGCCAGGACTGCTGCCGGAAATGAAGTGTTTGGGGACTTGGAGGGAGCTGTCGGGGGAGGCCTGTTTAACCCTCACAGTGCCAAGCGATTCCTGGGTTAGGATTCAGAAAGCAAGGAATTCAATGCAGGCGTCCATCAGAAGCACACCACGGGCCAGAACATTGCAGATTATATATGCTACATAGTGGCAGAAGATGAAGACGCTTAAAAGAAACAGTTCTCTCAATACACAAAGAACACCACACCCCCGACAGGATGGGGGAGACACACCAGAACGCTCATGCTGCACTACGGGAGAATCCAGTCTAGAGGACATGCCTAAGAAAGGAGTTAAGAAGAAGAGGTAGGGCATTTCAAAACGTCTCCTGCCCAGAAGAAAGACTGGGTAGCTGACTAGAAGGCAAGCACCCTCAGGGCTGAGGATGGGCTGCTGAGAGCTAGTGAACCACAGCACGGTTTTCTGTGAAGATTTTCCAGACAAAGACAACAACAAAGTTACTGACCAAGCCAAAAAACAAACAAAGCAAGCCAGCTTGGCCACAGTGTACAAAAGGAGTGGGGAGAGGAAGTGAGTAGACAAACGGAGGTGGAGAAAGGTGGGGGGGGGGCAACACTCAGTCCCTTCGGTTTATATGGCTTCGGGTGTTTACGGCACCTCTGAATAAGTGTAGATAGTGAAGCCTGTCCATGTGAAAGGAAGGTAATTTAGAAACATTTCAAGTCCCTTTCATAAAAAAGACTCCTTTAAAGTGCCATCGCTTCCACTCCTCCGTCTTGATGGAACGACCTTGAGAGAACCCTTGGGAATTATTTTGGTGTGTGTCAATCACTCATTTCAACTCAGTGAATCTCGAAATGAAATAGGAGTCCTATTTACCTTAACCTAACAGGGAGCTGGTGTGAGTTTTTGTCCTGATATATTTGGCTTCACTGGCAATTTTTCTACTAACAGAGCAAAGTGGTCCAAAATATGCAGCAGCAGCCGCAGAAGCACTACTGTCAGAACAGAAAGTATCAGACACACAGAAGGCGCCCCCTGGAACCATGGAAACAGCAAGGGAAAACTGAGTTCAGATCCAAATCACCGGTCAGCTTAGGTTTCTTAAAAGACAGCATCTAGGTAAGAACCCTTCAGTATTTCTATTTTCCTAAATAACTTTATCTTAGGCACATGGATCCCCCAGGGAACACGCAGCCAGCAGGAGGGCCGGCGTGCCCAAGAGCGGGGCTGCTAACAAGTCAGCGGGGTCGTCTGCATAGACCAGCTGAAAACTGGTGGCCAAGCAATGGGTCCTGGTGAGAAGCAGCACAAAGGGGATCTGAGGAAGAACGAAAAAATGTTGGATTGTTCGGGGGAAACCTAGATCCATGCATGTCTACAAGAGAGGAAAATCTGAAATCCAACAATTTCTAGCAAGTACCTTAATTCATGAACCAGGTGGCTGGTAATTCTTGTTCCAGACGCTCCCAGTGGGTGGCCCAAAGCAATGGCCCCTCCATTCACATTGGTTTTACTTGGGTCAAGATCCAAACCCTTCTGAACAGCCAAGTACTGGGAAGCAAAGGCTTCATTCACCTTCAAAATGATTGAAACACTGGTAAAAATCCTTATTCACAAACTGATTTTTAACTGAGAATTGTTCAGTCCCGTTGATGGCTAGTTTTGCTGCTTTTTTCCCAATGTAAATTACCTTTCAAGATTATTCTATCTTTAGTTGTTCTCTGTAGAAATACCAGGTTTGAAAATGGCAGTGTAAGTCCAATGCATCCTTCAGAGAAAAGAAGTTCTCGGCAATATCACCCACAAACACTAGGGGCAGCGGGACCCTGCGGAGCCCACAGGCGCTGCAGCCAGGTGGGCGGTTCACACCTTGGCCACACACACCTTCTTTTACCCTCTGGTTGACTTCTAAATTCCCGGGGTCAGGGGAGGACAAGAAACTTCTAGATTTGGCACCAGATACTGTTTTCCTATTAGGTCAGTTCTTGACTTGTATTTTTTCACTTTAATCCATAAAACAGGGTTGAAAGTACTTATGCCCCCACACACTTCATATAGAAATCATTTCAGTTCAACAAGCACATTAATAGTCAAAAGTGTAATAGGATCTTATAAGGTCCTAAGATTTTTCCAGGAATTTATACTTTAGGAGAAATCAGCCTGTTTTAACTATCTAAATATAAAGGAAACATTTTAACCAGGTCAGGGAAGCGCACCAACGTAAGTCAGGCAATGAAGCAGCACGGGTTTCAATGTGCGTCCTTTGGAAAGGCCAGCAGCACCCAAGCGAAAGGGCTGCGGAGGGCCAGGCTGCGGCCACTTGCGCCGTGGACACTGGTGGTTTATTCATGCTGTAAAAATGCCAAACACTCACCTCCACCAAATCCATGTCCTTCAGGCTCAGTCCCGCTTTCTTCAGTGCCCCCTTGACAGCCGGGACGGGACCTGTGTCAGAGTAAAAGCCAGCATCATCTCAGGCTTGTTTATGGACCAAATGTTTCCATCTTCACTAAACAGGTAAATAATGTGACAGCTATTAGTAGCCACAGATCTTTCTACCTTGACAGCACACTCTTAAGTCATGTGACAATGACGGAACAAAGCACGGGACCAAGGGGAACAGCGGTTTCCGTCGTGCAACTGTACTTGACAGCCTCCCATGAGGTGTCCAAACATAAACGGCTGCAGGAGCTCCAACAGCCAAAGGGGTTCTGCACAAGAGTTCAAAGCCATTTTTAGGTCATGCTTCCTATCCAACGGTGACTTGGACTTCAGTGTTCTCCTGGGGTACAAATCACATGCGTTCCTGGCACAGAAGTGATTGCGCCCACACTCTGAGTTTCTGAGCCCATCTGGACAACGGAGAAGAAATGGCAGCAGCCTTTCTGCACGGGCCCAGCAGGAGGAAGCCACGAGGCCCCGCAGGAGAAGGAGTCTGAACAGCAGAGGCGTTTGCGACTCCCACGGAAGGCAGAGTTTAATGAAACACACACCCCACCGACGAACTACAAACCCACACAATGAAATTTTAGCTCCCAGATTTCTGATGACCACCAGTGAGAGTTTAATATTGCTCATGATTTTAAAATAAATTCATTTCCCCCTCAAAAGGCCCAAAATTTGACTAGGGATGAGAATCTACTTCTCTATCTGTTCCAAAAGAATAAAATTGCCATAAATGAATTTAAAAATGTGGTATGTTCTGTTGAATTTAAGTAGTCAAACATTCTACAACAAGCTTCACAAATATAGCCAAGATAAGATGGGAAATCAGTTTTTCCAAGAAAAGTATAATGCAATCTAAATATAATGTGATTTATTTTGTCACTTAACTAAAATGCTTTTTAAACAACAGTCTGTAAATCGGTAGGCCCGTGCTCTTCAACATAAAGCACCAGTTCTGCACTGGCTACTGACTTAACACCGAACCTAATTCCAGATTCTCTTTGTATCTCGAAGGCACGAAAACAGGTGGACAGTCGAGAGTAGAGCAGCACTGCCCCGCGTGATCAGCGGAGGAGGCACCCTACCGGGGAAGACACGCAGAACCGGAGGGAGCACACCCACGCGCACACTCCCACCTTCACGAACACGGGGAGCCTGACTCCGTGCTCCTGTGAACTCGGAACGGTCGCAGGCAATTGTAACAACACACCACACTTTGTTTTTAAGGACCATTCCCAAACCACTCTGCTATTTACTGGGACTCAGGAAGGTGTAGCGTTCTCATGGGGAAAAGGAGACTTGACTTCTAGTCGTGGCTCCAACTACTAAGAGCCAGCCAGGTGACCATGGGCACCTTTTTGGGCTACAAGCTTCCCGTCAGAGGTGCTTTGAATTGGTTTTTTAACTTCTTTCTTTAGAAGCATTTGAATCCTTTTTACAAATAAAGCCCAATAACAGATAAAGGTAGAGCCGCTCTGGCTGAGAGGCTCAAAGTCCTGCCCAGCAGCCCCCACCACTGCCGCCACCACTGGGGGGCAGGAGTTCCAGGGAACACACTTTCTGTGACCGTGTCCTTGGTCGGAGCTGTCTTTCGAGTTCTGGCTTCCCCCCTTCTCTGGGTCTGCAGTTGCACCTCAGGGAAAAGGACTGCCCCACACTGAACACTGTGGAACTGAGGAAGCACCCTCCCCGGAAATTAGGTCGACGAGCCCGTCCTCATCAGGTACGCAGGCGTCTGTCCCCCTGCTGTTTGTCCTGCGTTCTCCCATTGGTGCCTTGTTTCACCCCCCCAGCACAGCTGAGAGAGGGACTGTCCGGATGGAGGGGACATCTGGCACGGGGACACTGGCACACACACAGCTGCAATCGTGCCCGAAGGAAGAAGACCCCCCATCGGCCACTCACCACACTAAGGGGGGGAACATCCAGGGCCTGGCGTAGAGGAAAGGCAAACCACATTTCCTTGCTTCCTCACTACTTTAACGTATCAGAACCTATTAAATGAGGTTAAACTGAAAAAGAACTACAGAATAACCACTTTCCAATATCAGATAAATTTGATTGATCATCATCAAAACCATCTAGATACACTGAAAAAACCCCGTATTCCCAGGCTCCACCCTGCAGCTGCGAAAACGAACTCACGTGGGGAATGGATCACAGGTGCATCTGATCGTCATTCAGGGCCGGGAACCACTGCTCTCAATACCTCAGCGATAAATGCCACACGGACACACAGATCCAGCCAAACCTCGGCTCTTGAATGTCTTGGTTCCCCAACAATTTGGTTCTCGACCAGGTTGTTCATAGAAAGAATGTCCAATTGTCCAACAGAACTTGGGGTCCCAACAACCCTTTCATGCTGATGCCTGTGTGATTGGTCACACGAATCTCAGGCAACAAAAGAGAGTCGGTTTTCAAACAAATCACTTTTTGAACCGTTTTTCTGGAACGAATTAAGTTCAAGAACCCAGGTTCCACGGCATTTAATTTTTCAAGCTACTTCCCATCTCTATGACAAAAACTATGTTTTGCTGATAGTGGGCAGCCGAAAGCTAATAAACTTTGAAGGCTATAAAAGGAAAAAGTTGACTTTTAACAAATGTTTACATAGTATACAGTTTTTGGTGACGTAATTGGCAACACGGTGACAGATGGCAAGGTGTGGACACGCCAGCTGGCTTCCTCAGAAATTCGGTGCAGGACACAGCAGCAAGCCTGTTGGGTATGAACCTAGTCATCAGCAGGGCAGGACCTGGAAGCTTACAGGGCAGGATCTTTGAAAAGGCAGGCCAGCCACAAGTCATCCTCCTTCAATCTTGGGACCTACTTCAAAAACCAAGTGAGGCCCTGGCTGGTGTGGCTCAGTGGTGGGGCACCAGCTGGACTGGGAACCAAAAGTTGGCTGGTTCCATTTGCGGTCAGGGCACATGCCTGGGTTGCAGGCCAGGTCCCCACTGGGGGGTGTGTGGGAGGCAGCCAATTGACGTTTCACACACCGCTGTTTCTCTCCCTCCCCCACTGTCTAAAAAAATAGATGAATAAAACCTTTACAAAATGTGTTAAGAAAATACAATTTAGTTAGTAAAAAATGGCCTAAGATTCATCTAATCTCATTGACAAATCTTTGGACCTACCAAGAAGCTGAGTCTCTATTCTAGGGCAGGCTTTTCCTTGGGGCCTGAGAAGCAGATTAGAACCTTTGGGCACCAATTTTATTTTCACGAGGTACCTAATCAGTTCCCTGTTTCCCCACAGAATGGTGACAGGAACTGCTAAAATTCATCATCATCTGCAGTTTCTAGGAGTGCTTTCGGCAGAAAGCTTTTTGTTCTAATTCATACCCTTCCAGCTCAGACTGTATACATGCTTGTAGGAAGTCACAGACCTCCTGCTAGTGCTTTGCCAATGGGGACACAGTTTCTAATTCCTCACTGTCCTGCTGAGCCTCAGCTGAGACAGGAGAGCATTACTCTGACCTCCTGAGACAACAGAGCAAGAAGAGCACTGGACTTGGAGCTGGAGTTGCACCCCGGCTCCACTGCCTGCTGCTTTGGAACTGAGCCAACCTCCCCACGCCCACCTCAATTTTCTCCCCGACTGAGAAGGCCCACTTCCCAGGGCTGGAAGGGTGAAATTAGATACACCAGTGACCCCACATAAGACGCCCGACAGGGTGTTCATCTCCATACGGCCTTTGCTGTTTTGCCCCATAGTTTCTCCCATCTCAGATTTTCTTTATCTGGTCAGTACCTGGTAATTCTTCTGTTATTTTCTGTTAGTTCTATTTTTAAATTACTTATTTATTTACTTCTAGAGAGGGGGGAAGGGAGGGAGAGAAACATCAATTGGTCACCTTTTGTTTGTACCCTGGCCGGGACTAGACCACCAACCCGGGTATGTGCCCTGACCGGAACTGAACTGGTGACCTTTCGCTATGTGGATGACAACCAACGGAGCCACACCAGTCAGGGCTCTGTCTGTCAACTTTAAAGATCTCAAATGGACAAGAAGACATGATTGCTGCCCACAGCAGTTTACACAGTCCTGGTTTTCCTACTGAAACTAACAGTTTTTCTTAAAGACTGGCAGCCTTGACTTAGCTACTGTTTCTGGAATTGGAATGCCAAAGAAGATTTATCTCCAGAAATGTAACAGAACCAGTTTGTTTCCCTACAAACTTACCAATACCCATGATAGTGGGGTCACATCCAGACACAAAATAGCCCACGATTCTCGCCAGCGGTGTGAAGTTATGCTTTTTAACAGCATCTTCGCTGGCAAGGATAATGGCTCCAGCACCGTCACATATGCCCTTGGAAACAAAAACAAGGTTAACTGGAAGGTAAAGAACCTCGCTACTCAAAGTCTGAACTAATGGGGCAGCACTGTCAGGATGACAGCAATCCTGGACGACCGAGGAGCAGGGCCGTGATTTACACTAGCAGGCTCTGGGGGGTTGGAGAGATCGCTAAATCCGGGCACAGAACGTAGCCTCGCTATGGGAAAACAGGAAAGAATGTCAGGGAAAAGCTTGACATTCTGGATGTGGGTAGACGTAAGGAGAAATCTGATGAATTGTACACATGAGAAAGAAAAAAACCATGAAAACTGAAATAATAAACCAGGTAGATTTCCTTCTAACATTCTGAAAAGAAACTGAAAGTACTTTCAGCGCCCCTACCTAAAATACTCGTATTTTGACCAATGAACTTCCAAATTAATATAATCTGAGCTCTATTAGTTTAATCTACATAACTAAAGACCAAGGACTTCCGCCAAGATGGAGGTGTAGGTGGAAGCACTGTGCCTTCTCACACAACCAAGTTTAAAAACAACAAAGTTTTAGCAACAAAAATGCAGCCAAACCACAGAAAATTGAACTATATGGAAGTCTGACAACAATGAACCCTTCAGCCAAACCGGTAGGAGGGGCAGAGCCAGCAGCAGAGCGGGGTCGGGCAGGAAAGATCCACCTGACCGACCCGGGCGCACAACCCAGGTGCACCAGCAGCTGCGGGAGGATCCCAGTTGTGGAGAAGCTGGTGGACCTACTGAGGATGCAAGGCGGTAGACCCACTGAGGGCTGACCACGGTCACACATTCGAGCGCAGATAAACTGGTGAAGGAGCGAGTGGTGAGACAGACCGTGCAGGCCCCAGTGGCAGGAAGCAGCAGAGGGGACTGCCATTGTCCCTCTCTGACCCCACCCCCACATACAGCATCACAAACCAGTGACCTGAGTGGCCCCGCCCTGGTGAACACCTCCTCGTACATAACAGGCACGAACAGATCAAAACATGGCTCAAGAACAACTCAGAGCCCCAGAGCCCATAAATCTAAGTGATGAAGAAATAGCCAAACTTTCAGATGCACAGTTCAAAACACTGGTGATCAGGATGCTCACAGAACTGGTTGATTTTAGTCACAAATTAGAGGAACATATGAAGGCTAAACTAGTTAAAATAAATGGAAATGCACTGGAAACCAATAGTAATGGAAAGGAAACTGGGACTCAAATCAAAGGAGTCGACCAGAAAGAGGAAAAAAATGACCAAACAGAAAAGGATGAAGAAACAAGAATTCAAAAAAATGAGGAGAGGCTTAGGAACCTCCAGGACAACTTTAAACATTCCAACATCAGAATTATAGGGGTACCAGAAGGGGAAGAGGAACAGCCACAAGTGGAACACTTATTTGAACAAATAATAAAGGAGAATTTCCCCAATCTGGCCAAGGCAATAGACTTTTGGGAAATCCAGGAAGCTCAGAGAGTCCCAAAGAAGTTGGACCCAAGAAGGAACACACCAAGTCACATCATCATTACATTAGCCAAGACTAAAATGAAGGAGAGAATTCTAGAAGCAGCAAGAGATAAGGGGACAGTCACCTAGAAAGGAGTTCTCATCAGACTGTCAGTGGATTTCTCAAAAGAGACCTTACAGGCAAGAAGGAGCTGGAAAGAAGTATTCCAAGTCATGAAATCCAAAGACCTACATTCAAGACTGATCTATCCAGAAAAGCTTTCATTTAGAATGGAAGGGCAGATAAAGTGCTTCTCAGAAAAGATCAAATTCAAGGAGTTCATCATCACCAAGCCCTTATTATATGAAATATTAAAAGGACTTACCTAAGAAAAAGAAGATAAAAAAGATGAACAGTGAAAGGACAGCAAACTCTCAGTTATTAAGAACTACACCTAAAACAAAAACAAACTAAGAGGACAGCTAGATCAGGAGCAGAACCATAGAAATGAAGATCACATGGAGGGTTAGCAACAGGGGAGTGGGAGAAGGAGAAGGGGGGAGAAGGAACAGAAAATAAGTAGCATAGACAGTAGGTAGAAAATAGATAGGGGGGAGGGCAAGAATAGTAGGGGAAATATAGAATCTAAAGAACTTGAGACACATGGCCATAAACTAAAGGGGGAGAATGGTGGGGGAGGGGTGTGCAGGGTGGAGGGGAATGAAGGGGGGAAATAGAACTGTAATGGCATAATCAATAAAATATATAAATAAATAAATAAATAAATAAATACCAGCATAAAAGTAGCTAAAAGATCCTGCGCGGTTATTTTTCATAGGACACAGCAGGAAGAGTTCGAGGGGATCGGTGGTGCCACCTACCGAGGCGTTCCCAGCAGTGACGGTTCCTTCCTTCTTGAACACAGGAGGGAGCTTGGCGAGCTGCTCCAGGGTTGTCTGGGGCCGCGCATGCTCATCTACCTGCATGGTCTGCTTTCCTTTCCTTGTCTTCACCTCAATCGGCGCCATCTCATTATTGAAGTAGCCAGCATCATTAGCTGAAACAGTGGGAAGACTGTCATAAGAATGGGGACAAAAGAAGGAAACAGAAAAAGAAACGAAATCAAACAAGTCCTTCAGTCTAATTTCTGGTCTACCCTCTCCTCGCAGCCTACTTTAATATAAGCCTTAATTGCTTCTGTAACTCCTCTTGCCTATCGGAGGACTTAATACACTGCCATGCTTCTATGCAGATGCATTTTGCATCTTTTTATCTGTTACTTTTTAAAATTATTATTTTGATTTTCTTTTCTTAACCACCTTTTTTTTTAACAAGGTAGTGCTGAAACTGTAGCATTATTTGTCTATTAGCTACACTTGCAATGACAGCGAATGGATTTAATTGCCCTTTTTTAAATGGATAAAAAGTAATTAAAAAGTTACTGAGTTGTACAAAATAACGTATTGCAACATACACTGAAAATCATACACTTAAACATTTAAGAGAGCAGCTCTCATGTTGAGTTTTCTTAGCACAATAAGAGAAAAAGTTACCAAGTTGCCCACGTCACCAAGTAATCTGTGCCTGACATTTGACGACAAGCCACCTGGAGAAATTGTATGGGTGAGTACCGACACAGTTCTCACTAAAACAGCTGACCTTCCCCAACCTCCACCGACCACAGGGCACTAGAGTAATCCGAAGCTTCAAAAACAGGGCATGTCAGGAACAACGCCATCCTAATTTTATGATGTTTTACAGCAGGCTAAACATTCCCCTTCACTGGTTTTTCACAACTCTATTAGGAAAACTGGGAAGGCCAATATTTTTTTATCTCTAACACGTTTACCTCTATTTTACAGATGCTCAGTAAATAACTAACTGAGGTCAGATAAAGTGTGTGGCAAAACTAGAACTAGAGCCAGTAACTCTTGACCTCTAGGTGGCGCCCTTCCATTTCATAGAAACATGGAACTAAACAGCACAGGAGACCGGCTGGGTGGCATCAGCTCCAGTCCACTCATTCCTCTGAAATGCTAAGATGGACTTTATCCTCACTATTCCAGGTAAATGTCAATACCCTAGTAAGAGTTTCCATTTGTTTATGAGTTTAATTTTAAAAATCTTTTTCAGAAGACTAACACAGTCCCTCAACGGACCACATGGGGAGAAGCTCTTCCGCCACGTTGCCCCCCTGAACGGCCTGAACAGCAGAGTGCGGTGTCACACGGGCCCGGGATGTCCTCCCGGAGGACTGGCTCCGAGTCAGGTGCGCTGATTCTCAGTGAGGAGTGGGGCGGCACACGGGTACCCGATGGGCCTCTCCCAGGCGTGCGGTCCCCTCCCTGTGAGTATAACGAGCCCCACAGAGGAGGGCACCCTCTCTGCCCCAGCAGCCCCAGTGAGCCGCCACCTCCAGCAGAGCGAGGGCCTCTCAGCCCTCTGAGCGCTTGTCCCCCTGCTGACGGTCCCAGCACAGGCGGGCCAATTAACAACACCGGTTTTTAAAGTGGTATTAACGTATTCAACAAGAGAGGCTCCCAGTTAATTTTGCAATCAGAACTTAAATATCTAAAAAAATGAACGAAATGGGACTTTCGAAAGGTTCAATTTTAAACTAATATTATTATATGATCATTCTCTGAAAAGATGAAATTCTTTCCTATAGTTTTTTTTTTTTAAATTGGGGTAAAACTGACACATAACATTATATTAGTTTCAGGTATAACAACCTAAATCAGTATTTGTCTCCATCGCAAAATGATCACCATCACAAGTCTAGTTAACATCCATCACCAAAAGAAAGTTACAAAAAATTTTTTTCTTCTGGCAAAAACTTTTCAGATCTACTCTCTCGGCAGCTGTCGAATATGTGATAGTATTGTAACTACAGTCGGCACGTGGCACCTTCTATACCCAGAACCGCTTTATTTCACAGCTAAACATCTGTACCTTCTGACTCCCTTCGCCCATTTCACTCACCCCCACCCCCCCCCCCCTCGTCTTTTCCGTCCTGAGTCATGGTAACATCCACTTTCACTGACCAGCTTTCCACCTCTGCTGGGACTGCAGGGCATATTTGTCACAGTCTTCTCTGCTTATTTTATGTTGGGAAGCAAGATTCTCCGCAGTAAGTCCCATGAAGAGTTGGACGTGCTGATCCTTTAATGATGTCCACAGAGAATCTTCCAGCTATTAAAAGACATGAATGATACTGTGATTTCTTAAAGTGTATCTTTTGAAAGTAATACGCTATACTTTATTTAAATTTAAATAATTAGCAGTTCCAATAAACAAAAGTAAAATAAGATTTTCTAATGTCATTATTATTACTACTATTTATATTTCAATGTGGCTCTGGCACACTGAGAAAAACCCAGTGACATAACACAATGACACATTCTCCTCTTTCTGTAACTGTGAGGCTCTAGAGAGAGCCGCCAGTGCTGAATGTGCAGGGTGAACCACAGCCATTTACTCTACAGTCAGAACCCCTCAAAGTTACATTTCGTAAGAAACTAACAGAGTCCTCGGCAACATTTCCCTGTAGCCGCCTGTGTAAACCACAGTTAGGAGCTCTGTTAGGAAAGAGTCTGTCTGGGCTCCTTTTTCACCCTGTGCCCTCAAGTGATAGGAACAGCTGACCCTGTTAGCTACTATGAACTTGAAAAGAACCTGGGACGAACTTCTTGGGTAAGGGAGAAAGTTGTTCCTTATTAGTCGGCCTCTAATAAGTGTGCCCCATCTGTTTCTTCCGCATTGCCTCACTTTTGAGTCACTGACCTAGCATCCAAAGGTTTTTTCTCAAACATATTTGGCGTCTAAGACGATCTCATCTTTTCTAAGCCTTGTTCCTTTCAACTTTCGAAAAGGCCAGGTGAGAAACTGGATGAACACTGTAAAAGCAACTGAAAAATGCTACCAGTGTGAGACACCATCTCCCCTTTAATAAACGGGAAGGACAGCGTACTGTCTACCACTCCTTATTGGCACTATCACTCACGCTTTTATCTGACTGGTACGGGACAATATATTCTACATTCAAAGAAAATGTTTTCTGTGATGAAGAAATCTATTCAATGGAGAATGCGCCAGAAAACTTTCCATGGTAAAAATTTAACTATTTGGTTTACTAATCATTCAACCTTTGCCCACCTTTTGATCTGCTTCTTCCTTTCCTCCACTTCCCCAAGTGTTAATTCCACCACCAGAGGTATGCTAAGATAGTCTAATTTTATGTGGATTGAAATGGCAAAACAAAGAACCAAGATAGTTTTGAAATACTTCATGAAATTCAAATCCCTTATACCTTACTAAACCCCTATTAACAAAATTGGTTTTGAAATTAGTTTTCTCTTCCCCAAATGGTGCTATTAAAATTATTAGTGGAATAGCTTGAGAAATAATTCTTTAAAAAAATTTTAATGGTTCCAACCTGGAGTTCTGATCCAAACTTGGTTCCGAAACGTATGTTTCTGACCCAGTAGGGCGCCTGGCTCATGCTTTCGGTTCCTCCACAGAGGACGATCTCAGCATCTTTAACACAGATTTCCTATTGAAAAATAAATGGACAACCAAACTCTTTTATAATGGCAGAAGTGGATATTAAAAAGTAAGTGTTAAGTAGTGAACTAATACTAAGCTTAATAAGTAACTATCCTAACCTTACAGTGTTTCAAAAGGAAATACTTTTAAAGTAATCTCACAGCAAGTGCTAAAGTATCCATTCCCAAAACACAAGGAGGAAAAAAAGCCCTAACGGTTTTCAATCATTTGTGCACAAGTAACAAACTCTACCCACTTTTTGCTAAGGAATGGCAATTCTTAACTCAACAGAAATCTTAAATATCAGCAGAGATATTGTCCGGCATAAATTTACAGACTGCCAGCAAATAATAAAGAACAAACCTTTTAAAAAGACAAAAGTAACATTTATCCTACTAATGGATGAATCTGAAGGACACCACAGATTTAAAGGAACTGGGTTAATCCAGAGGACGCATAAAAAAGAACACATTTCATTCTTCCAACTCTTTCCACTATTTGTATATCTCAGAAAAGAAGCAAATCACAAGCCTTCAAGAGCTTCATGTTCAAAATGATTGCTAGGAAAATCAGGATCACTATTTAAGATATACTGTTATAGAAATAATTTATTGCCCTGGCTGGTGTAGCTCAGTGGATTGAGTGAGGGCCTGCGAACCAAAGGATCGTGGTTCGATTACCAGTCAGGGCACATACCTGGGTTGTAGGCCAGTGCCCAGCAGGGGACTCACGAGAGGCAACCATACATGGATATTTCTCTCCTTCCCTTCCCCTCTAAAGGTAATTAATTAATTAATTAATTAACCAATCATCACAAACCTGTATTATTTTATTTTGTAATAAAATGAAGACAAAATTGATTTTGCTGTATGCCTTTTCCCTGTGCTCATAAATCTATTTGCTCAATTATCCCTTAAAGAAGTCAGAGTAGTTTGTACTTCTACTAACAGTACCACTTAGTTCCTTTTTATAAAATATATTTCCTATCATCTTCTACATTCTCCAAGTCTCTTCCTAGTCTTACAGTCTTTATTCAGTTTCAAACTGCCTCACAGACACGGGTTTAAATTCTACCTCGCAGACTTAGTGACTTTAATGCCTTCAATAATCAGTTTCTTTGCTTATAAAATGGGAATAGAATCAGGTCTTGGCCTCACAGGACAGGTGTGAAGATGAAGTGAGCTGTTGAGTGTAACCAGTGGTCATGACTGGCTTCTTTAAAAACTGTGATGAAGAACACACACCATGAAATGCACCCCTCCAGCTGATTTCCCGCGTACAGTTCGTTAAGTACACTCACGCCGGCGTGCGGCTGCCCCCAAATCCAGAAGCCTCGTCACCTTCCCAAACTGAAGCTCTGTGCTCCTGAACTCTGCCTCCCTGTCCTCTCTCTCCTGCCTTTGCAGCTACCATCCTACACTCTGTCTCTGTGAATGTGACCGTTCTTCATACAGCATTTATCCTTTTGTGACTGGTTTACTCCATGTAGCATAGAATATTTAAAGTCCACTTTTAGCTTTTAAGAAATGCTTTTCTTCCTGGGAATGTTTTCCCAAATTTCAAATACTGACCTCTCTTCAGAAGCATAAATAAAAATCTACAGTGTTATACAAAGTGGGGCATTTTCTCCAGTAGCTTTTTGACACATTTCGGAGAAGCCGATGTGATTGGCATCCGTCGGTACCTGACATCCGCTCACGAGAGCCTGGAAACCAGAGCCGCACAGCCTGTTGAGAGTGAGAGCCGGGGCCTCCGTCGGGACACCCACACGCAGACCGACGTGCCTTGCCAAGTACGCAGCATCTGAAGCGGACTGGAATGCAGGGAAAAGAAACAGAACTCCCTCCATAAATCTAGAAATTAAGGACAAGATATATGGAAACGTCGGCAGTCTATCAAAAATTATAAACTGTATGGCTTCAGGTAGACCACAACATATATGGGAACACAATATTTCACATAACAAATGTGTGACTTAAATAAAAACTATAATTTGGTCTATATGTTTTTAAACCTACAGTATGAGAATCCTATGTCATCAGTAGAAGATAGAAATTTGTAATCAGGAGAACTGTTTAAAATGGAGTTGGCTACCTCACAGTAGGATGTTCCCTAACAGATGAGCGTCTGGGGCTGTGGTTCTCAACCCTGGCTGCACACGGGAATAACCGGGCGAGCTCCAGCCACACACGGCTGACCAAGCTCCTAACGGAACCAATTAAACCAGAGATGCTGAAGGCAGTGCACGGGCACCAGCAGTTACCGTAGTCCCTGGCATTGGCAGTTTCACTTTCTGCAGTTTCAGTTACCCATGATCAACTGCAGTCTGCAAATATTAAATGAAAATTCCAGAAATAAATATAAGTTTTAAATTGCATGCTGCAAGTCTTGCCTGTGACCTGAACTGTCCCTTTGTTCAGCATCTCCATGACATGCTTCCTACCCATTGTTACTTAGTAGCCATCTAGATCATAGGACCACATTATTACAGTGCTTGTGTTTAAGTTAATGCTTAGTTAGCTTACTTACCAATGGCCCCACGGTGCGAGAGTAGTGACGTTGGCAATTCAGATATGCAAAGAAGCTGTAAAGTGCTTCCTTTAAGTAAAAGAGTTAAAGCTTTCCACTTTGTAAGGAAAGAAAAAAATTGTATGCTGAAGTTCCTAAGCCCTACAGTAAGAACAAGTCTTCTATCCATGAAACTGCCTAGTGTATAAATTAAACTTTGTCACAGGCATGTGTGTACAGGGAAAATACACAGTGTACGTAAAGTTCAGTATTATCTGTGGTTTCAGGCCTCCCGTGAGCATCCTGGAATGTGTCCCCTGAAAACAACAGGGACCACTGTACTTTAACAAACATTTTTATTGCATTTATTGGGGTGACACTGGTTAATAACGGTCTATAGGTTTTCGGTGCACTAGTCTACACCACATCATCTGTATCCTGTATTGTGCGTTCTCCACCCCAGGCAGAGTCTCCTTCCATCACCTTTCACCCTCCCTGCACCCTCCCCTCTGGTCATCACGTGCTGTTGTACCTGAGGTTTCTTCCCCTTTGCTTAATCCCCCCACTCCTTTCATCCCCCCCAACCCCTCTTCCCTGTCAGTCTGCTCTCTATCTTTTCAGCTTGTTTCTATTTTGTTTGTTAGTTAATTTTGTTTGTTAGGTTCCAGGTGTAAGCGAACTGAGGCTGAGACCTGCTGACCCAGGGAGGGGAGAGATGGTGACGGGGCAGGAGGGTAAGAGATGCTGCCCAAACTCAGAAATGCACACTGGCGCCTTCTGTCCCTGTGTGGGCCCTCGGTCAGTGGGTCTAGGGCTGTGTGAAAGCCTGCGCTTCTCAACACTGCCCTCATGAAGCAATGTTGCTGCTCCAAGGACCACACTCTGAGTGAGAAGGAACAGAAATAGACTGAAAAAAAAAAATAAGAACAGCGTTTACTGTATAGAGAGCTCAAGTAACTTTGATAAAATGTGGAGAATTGGCTCACCAAGGTAAAAAGGCTTTAGGGCACTCACTGTTCTATTTTTTCTTTCTTTCCTTTTTTTTTTTTTTTTTTTACTTTTTTTGCTTGGCTTTGCTATACTCCTTAAGTAGGTAGGTGGGTAGGTAGGTAGAGAGAGAACACTAACTTCAAATAAGTCAAGGAAATTAATCTATTTAGAAGCAGGAAATCAAATCATTTTGTTTTACCCCTAAAACTAATATAATCCATAAATCAATTATACCTTAATATAACTGGAAAAAAACCAAAAATGAAATGTATCCCAGACTAGACACATATATAGTTTCCAGAATATCTGCTCCTTTGAATTACGCATGTCACTGCTTCTAAACTCGGAGGATTACTCTAAGTATAAACACCTTTCACTATTCATGGATTCTCCATGATGACAGTTACAGGAGAAATCTTGAAAAACTGATAAAATAAAGCAACAGGAACCAATCCCATCCTCGCCCGACTAACCTGTATGACGTTGCCTACGATAACACTGTCCACAGTCTCGGGTGAGACTTTGCCCGCAGACAAGGCTGCCCTGGCAGCGAATTCAGTCAGGTCTGTACCTGTGAAGTCTTTCAGAAGACCTCCAAAGGCCCCAAAGGGGGTTCTCTTCGCCGCGACGATAAACACACCTGTTCCGAGGAGGAGAGGTTTGTGAGCAATCAGAGCTTAGTCAGTGTCCCTTAGCACGCGTGAAACAGTCTCCCTGGGAAACATTACTATACAGCATGGTTTTCAATTAGATAACTGAAAATCTTTGCATACACCAAGGCTCCCACAAACTATCTGGGCATCCATTTCCACATCTTGTCAAGAAACCATAGAACTTTTAATAATGGATTTGTGCCTAGATACTGACCTGTGACTAAGGCCACTCCAACGTTACACCACCATTGGTATCTAAGTGTAATCCCCCTATTTATGCTAGTGAGCTCTTTCCGAAGAACACACTAACCCTACCCTAAAAGTCAACATCAGCTTCTCCTTTTATTCCAGTTGACAAATTTACAGTCCAAAAGAATGTTAGGCACAACATACATAACTATAATTTAGAAGAGATCTAGTTTTTTTTTTACAGCTGTAATACTCAAATATTCGTAAAAGGTCACACATGTTAGTTTGGTGCGGCAAGGAGAGAGTAAGATCAGTGGTTGCATGAGGGTGGGAGGGGGAAGGAGGGACGAACAGGTGGACCACAGGGGATTTTAGGGCAACGAAGCCGCTCTTTATCATACTGTAATGGTAGGTACATGTCATTATATACACTGTCAACACCAATAGAATGCTATAACACAAACAGAGAACCTTACGTAAGCTATAGACTTCAGTTAATAATAACGCATCCGTATTAGCTCAATTGCAACAAATGCACCACACTGTTAGGTGAAATGATTCTGGTACTTGAAGTGACTGACGTGGGTTTGTACCATCCAAAAAGAACATTCTTGCACAGATACATGGGCCCATTAAGTTAATGACTGCCTTGGAGCACACAGATCTCACTCAGCCCGCGCCAGGAGACCACAAACCACCTGCGTCAGCCCGTGGCTCTGGCTACAAAGCGCCCGTGTAGGCTCGTGCCACGTGGAGTTGCACCGCCTCAGCGCCGGAGCGCTGCTCCTGTCGGTAAGTACTCTTAGACTCTCCGTGGAATTTTGGAGTTGTCGGCCTCTTTCCTCGGCTCCTTGGCCTTGGATAATTTTCCCAAAACTGATGTAAAATGTTAAGAATAGGAGATACTGGTGTGGGATAACATGTGACTATTGACTTAACAGAAACAATGAAGGTTAATTTCCTATGTTTCTCCGTATACTTCCTTCCATGAGTTTCTCCCTGTACTTCATAACCTAAGAGAACACAATGGTGTGGGAAGGTACTAATGGTGACATGTGAGCTGTCTATGAAAGAGTGTGGGGGAAAACAAAAATAAAAGGTCTGCCCCCTAAGATATCACTTCTGCTTACTTGTGCTTCCAGACCCTACAGGTTAGCTTGAGTAAGGCTAATACTGAAACACTATTATTTTGAAGGGGAAAATGCTACTAAATATATTTTAAACATAATCTGGGGTGTGTAGGGATAAAGACTGAACAATTTAAAGAATTCTTTTTCTTGGAATTTCATAATCTGGATATGATCTATGCCAATTTTCTGTGGTTGTTAAAAGGTCTAAGATGTAATAATCTCTAACACCAAACTAACATCTTCTTTATTCTAAAAGACCTTTGCCCTGGCCTGGTGGCTCAGCTGGAGTGCCCTCCTGTGCAATAAAGATTGCAGGTTCAACCCCCACTTGGGGTGCATTTCCCTCATCAGTGGTTCTCTCCCTCCCTCTGTCCCTCTCCTTCCTCTCTAAAATCAATAAAAACATTGTAGGAAGAGGATTTAAAAAAAAATTGAAAACTCACGAAGATTTTCCCAAACTGCAAGACAGTGAAAAGACCCTTGAGTGTAGCGGGTCAGAAACACTGAGAAAAGGCCCGACCAAGGGGCTGATTAACTGGAGAAAAAAACACTAGAAGAGAAACAGGAACTTTGCCTTGCTTTTCATAAGCTTGTTAGACAAATATTGACTTGTAATTAGAGCCGAGACAGACAGCGGCTAAGGCAAATGAAGGAAAATGGCTAACTACTGCATTTCAGTTTCAGAGTTAAAGTCCTGGGTTAGCCAAGGAGTTCCTTTGGTTTTTTTCCATGAGAGCTGTAGTGCTTAGTTGTCTTCAACTTCATTCAGAACAGTTCTGTGACACTGTATTGTTTTTTTTTTTTTAATGAAGAAAACTAATATTTTATTAAAAGGCATATATATATATTTTTAATTTTTTTAAATTGATTACGCTGTTACAGTTGTTCTATTCCCCCCTTCATTCCCCTCCACCCTACCCCCCCATCCCCACCATTACCCCTCTTTAGTTTATGACCATGTGTCTCCAATCCTTTAGATTCTATATTTCCCCTACTATTCTTGCCCTCCCCCCATCTATTTTCTTTCTACTGTCTATGCTACTTATTTTCTGTACCTTCTCCCCTCATCTCCTCCTCCCACTCCCCTGTTGCTAACCCTCCTTGAGATCTTCATTTCTATGTCTCCACTTCTGATCTAGCTGTCCTTTTAGTTTGCTTTTGTTTTAGGTGTGGTTGTTAATAACTGTGAGTTTCCTGTCCTTTCACTGTTCATGTTTCTTTAACTTCTTTTTCTTAGATAAGTCCCTTTAACATTTCATATAATAAGGGCTTGGTGATGATGAACTCCTTGAATTTGATCTTATCTGAGAAGCACCTTATCTGTCCTTCCATTTTAAATGAAAGTTTTGCTGGATAGAGCAATCTTGGTTGTAGGTCTTTGGATTTCATGACTTGGAATACCTCTTTCCAGCCCCTTCTTGCCTGTAAGGTCTCTTTTGAGAAATCCGCTGACAGTCTGATGGGAGCTCCTTTGTAGGTGACTGTCCCCTTATCTCTTGCTGCTTCTAGGATTCTCTCCTTCATTTTAATCTTGGCTAATGTAATTATGATGTGCCTTGGTGTGTTCCTTCTTGGGTCCAACTTCTTTGGTACTCTCTGAGCTTCCTGGATTTCCTGGAAGTCTATTTCCTTTGCCAAATTGGGGAAATTTTCCTTTATTATTTGTGCAAATAAGTTTTCCAGTGGTGGCTGTGCCTTTCCCCTTTCTGGTCCCCCTATAATTCAGATATTGGAGCGTTTAAAGATGTCCTGGAGGTTCCTAAGACTCTCCTCATTTCTTTGAATTCTTGCTTCTTGACTCTTTTCTGTTTGGCCATTATTTGCTTTCTTCTGGTCCACTCCATTGATTTGAGTCCCAGTTTCCTTTTCATCGCTATTGGTTTCCTGTGCAATTCTGTTCATTTCAATTAGTTTCGCCTTCATATGTTTCTCTAATTTGTGGCTATAATCAACCAGTTCTGTGAGGATCCTGATGACCAGTGTTTTAAACTGTGCGTCTGAGAGTTTTGCTATTTCTTCATCACTTAGGTCTATGGGCTCAGGGATTTTGAGAATTTGCGACATTTTTGGTCTGTTCTGGCCCTTTAAGTGTGAGAAGCGGCGCCTGGGACTCCCCGGTCGCTGGGTTGTGATGCTGTATGTGGGGACGTGGTCAAAGCGGGGAAATGGCGACCTCCTCTGCAGTTTCGCACCGCTGGGTGAGGAGCAGAGCCTCAGGTGGTTCACCAGGGCGGGGCCACTCAGGTCGCTGGGTTATGACGCTGTATGTGGAGGCGGGGTCAGAGTGGGGAAATGGCGGCACCCTCTGCTGCCGCTGGCTGTGGGCTGTGGGGCCTGCTCAGTCCCGTAATCTCACCGCTCACTCCCTCGCTTGTCTATCTGTGCATGAAAGCGCGACCACAGTCAACCCGCAGCCCTGCTCCCTCGCTGTTTCCCAGTGGTCGCTCGCTGAGTTGCTTACTAGGTCCAACCCTGCGCCTGGGTTCCGCGCGCCCGAGTCCGTCTGACAGAGTTTTTCTGTGCAACCCTGCTCCAACAGATGCTGGTTTCGCCCCTCTTACCGGTCAGGCTGAAGAATTTGTTGTTATCAGACTTCCAAAAAGTTCAATTTTCCGTGTTCTGGCTGTGTTTTGTGTTGCTAATATTTAGTTGTCCCTAAACTTGGTTGTGTGAGAAGGCACGGCACATCCACCTATACCTCCATCTTGGCGGTGTGACACTGTATTGTGTCAGCTGTCATATCAAAGAAAACTTACCAACTGGTGAGTTTTTGTGCAGACATTTTAATATTGAAGATGAAAGAGAATATGCAACATTTCAGCATGTTACGCTTTACTATTTCAAGGAAGGTAAACACACAACTGCAAACACCAAAAAAGATCTGTGCAGTGTATGGAGAAGGTGCTGTGACTGACTGAATGTATCAAAAGTGGTTTGGGAAGTTTCTCGGAACTGTTGACATTTTGGCCAAGTAATTCTTTGCTGTGGGGCTGTCATGCATTGGAAGATGTTTATAGCAGCACCCCTGATTTCTACCTACTAGAAGCCAATAGTGGGAGACAGCTGACATACTCAAAGTAACCAAAGTAATAAAGTTATTGGGGAAAATGAAAAATGTGTTTTATTGAAGAAACTAAACAGACTTTTGGGCCAGGAACTTGGCAGCCCTGCTCAACTGCCCTGTGTAGCCTCATGCCAAACACTGGGGTGGTGCTAGTGAAAACAGGGGCATGGGTTCTTTTCAACCATAATCTGATCAATTAATGACAGTCTTTACCACAGTCAGTCATGCTCCTGTTCAGATGTGTCCTTTTCTCCGCAGTAATCAGTCGCACGTTCTCTCGTACCCATGAGTCCCGCAAGCACTGAACGCTACTAGAGAGAAGTGCCTACCTGCGATGCGGTCTACCTAGTCAGTAACAATCGCTACCTAAACCTTCAGGCTCGGGTTGTAGACTCACTCATTTCCCAATTTCCTGTGTCATTACAGACAAGCTGTTTTAACTTTCTGGACACCAGTCCCCTCACCTATAAAACAGGAAAATGGGCAAAAATATGATCACTAGCTCTAACTCCATAGTATCCTGTATCCCAAATTTATATACTTTACACTTCTTTAATACGGGTGTTGATGTACCTTCTTTTCCCCTACTGGGCTTTTCAGATGGGGATGTATTATAAGAAAAGGGTAGGGAACCACTGATAAAATGCTAAGTAGATAAATCATACAAAAAAAATTTTAAGGTGTTCATTACAATGCAGCTTTTATGTGAATTGGGTTTTTTTGAATACCTTGTTTAAAATAAAATTCAATGTGCTTTTTAAAAAATTAAATGTAGTAAATTCAGAACTGGGAAGAACATTCACTGGACAAGTTAAATCCAACTGCAGGAAACAGGATACACTACATCATGTCTTAGAATGTTTTTTACTAGAACTGTTCACATGCCATTTTGGCTCTTCCGAGCTGGATTCCCCTATTCACAACTGCCCCCCGAACACCTTCAGTGCCTCAATCTTCCCTTCCAAATCTATTCTCCCTCCAGCTTCCCTCATTCTGTAAGGGAGGGAACATTACTAACACAATTCCTCAAACCACAACCTAAAGTCACCCTTGATATTCCCTTCCCATTGACCTGCTAATGTTGAGGGAAATTGATAGCTATTTTAAAATATAGCACAGTGCGTAGGGAGTGACTCACTATTTTAGAAATACAGCACAGCAATTAGGGGGTCGTTTTTGTAGCCCAGGTTCTTACAGCCCAGTGATTCGCCTCGTTTATTCTAGCTTATTTGCTACATACCAGAGATAATGAAATGCTCTGTTTTCTGCTTCTGTAAATTGCCGCCTGCTTTTGGTCCAAAGGATGGGCTCCACCTTGCTCTATCAAATAACTGCTTTCCCATTGTTCAAGGCCCAGAATTTGGAGACTAACTCCTCTGGGTCCGCACATGTGAAAATAAAACTTCCACTCCGTTGCGGCTGAGTTGTTTTCTGTAACATTTTGGTTCTCTGACCAGGAACTGACACATGCGAGCAGACCTTTTTGCCTCTGGTGAGGGGGCGACCCAGAGGGAGCCTGGCAGCTGAGGGGAAGTGCATGCGTGCCCTGGTGATTTCAGGTCCCGGACACCCCAGGCTCCGTGGAAGTCATCCTCCAGACCACTCTTCAACCCGGGCAGGCGGGGTGAGGACTGGAACTATCCAGACCTGAGAAGGTGCTGAATGGTAGGTAAGTGCCCCAGGGACCAGAGCCTGAGACCAGCCTACCCCTTGCGGTGGAAGGAGAGACTGCTCACCTCTCAGGTAGGCAATTAGCCGTAAGTCCTCTGCAGGCCAATTAATTGGCCACGTGGAAGAGGAAACGTATCCCCACCTGGGCAGAGTACTACTCGGGTGGGACTGTATAAACTCTTGGATGTTTGTCTGTATGTTTGTAGAAGTGACTGTGTTTGTGGCTCCATGGGTGAAAAACCCATGGAACAAGAGTGACCCGCCCCCCCCCCCCCCCCCCCCGCCCCCACTGGAGGGACGGGAGGCAGCGGAGGCTCACATGGCTCCCTGCACCTGGTCCTGCTAAACGGGTCGCCAAGGAGAGAAGCAGGGCTACCCCAGTGGAGCCCCCTTGACTGAGCCAGGAGGGAGCTGTGAAGACCTCCTGGGCCCTTTAGGAAACCAGATACCTCCCAGGAGCAGGGAGCCACCAGACTGCCTAAGCAGAGGAACCAAGAGTAAAAAGAAGGATAGATAAATCTAGATAAGTAGAAATATGTATAAAGGAGTAAAGGAAACCTCAACTACTTGTTTTCTGGTTTCGTGGGAAAAGAGTAAATTTCTCACATGTGGTTCTGTTTCTGATCAGAAACCTGTATTATAAGACCTAGGAAAGGTTGCCTGTAGCCAGTTGGGGAGAATGCCTTTGCCACCTGGAACCCAGGAAGGGTTAATTGAGTGCTTCAGCCTGAGGCAAAGCAGCAAGTCTCTGCCATGAGACCGGGCCTGCAGGAGCATGTCTCTGCAGGCACCAGTGGGCGCATTGGTGCAGGAGAGTGCCTCTAGCTGTGTGTTGTTTCGGAACTCTGTGTTTCAGATTTTGCTCTGTATCTGCTCTGAAAAGGAAAAAGAAGGCAGGTGACAAAGACCAGGGCTGCAGGTCCTACAGTCCTCAACCTAGCAGGCTTAGACCCAGACCAGAATGCCACAGGGCTTCAGAAACTCTCCCACTCCCCTCGCAGAGGCCCTGGCCAGAGATCTAAAATCATTCACCGAGAAGGAGACTGACCCCGTGTTACTGCAGTGTGTAGATGACCTCCTTTCAGCCACATCAACCCGAGACAGGTGCTGGGAGGGCCCTTGCCAGCTGTTAGAGCTGCTGGTCGGGATAGGGTGGCGGGTGTCCTTGAAGAAGGGGCGCAGGTCGGGGCAGGGTGGGCACACTGCGTGCTGACCCCAGAACTCAGGAAAAGTAGAGCGCATGAACCAGACTCTCAGGGAAACTCTGGCTAAGTTCCACCAGGAGACTAGACTGCCTTGGACTGATTTGCTGCCGCTGGCACTACTTAGAATTAGGGATGCCCCTAACCCTTCAGGCTATACTCCGTATGAATTAGTCTTTGGGAGACCTCCTCTCATTCTCAGAATAGATAAAGGGGGGCCCCAGACAGCAGGAATTCCCCTGGTGAAGTTGCCTTCTGGGGAGGTGAGGCCCATTATGGCTTCGGGTGTACAGAGTGGAAAATAAAACTTCCACTCTGTACACCGGAAAGCGGCTGAGTTGTTTTCTGTAACACCACCTATCACCAAGCTGTATCAAATCCATCCAAATGTATCTCGTCACCCCTCACTCTTTACCCCTAACTCCTTTGCAACTTCCCCTCTCTGCCCAGTGGTCTGAAACGTTATTTGTTGTAGCTAGTACCTCTGCAACAGATTTTTAGATGGTCTTAATTCTTCTGGCAGTTTTATAGCTCTCAGGAAATCTGAGCAGAGTGGAAATCTGGCCCTGTTATTTCCCAACTTGAAAGTTTTCCATTAATTCCCAAATTTTGAATAACACCGCACACCTCCCTGCAGCACAGAGCCCCAGGGCTCTGAGCACCAGAACACCGATTCTGGGATCCCACCAAGGGTTTTCCTGCCTCGGCGCCTTGATATATAAAACGTCCTACATGAATGTTCTTTAAGGATAAACTTCCATATCCTTAAAACTAAAATTCCATTGATTGTGACTATTTGTTACATAAAGGCGGGTTTATTTATTTATTTTTTAAGTTAATAATCCTAGAATTTATGTACTTAATGACTGCACTTTCTGGGAGTCACTCAAAGGAATGGAAGGGAAACGGAAGTAAGGCAGGTCTCTCAACAGAACGCCAAGCATTTTGGGGGAGCAGGTCACTAGGGCAAAAACCCCGGCGACTGGAAGAGAATTCCCCCCCGCCCCCCGCAAACCCTCCCCGCCACGCAGCAGAGGCCGAGGCGGTCTTGCGCGCGTTTCAGGCTGCCTCGGGTGCAGATCACCCTTCGTTTTCCTGGAGCCAAACTCCAACGAGGTGGGGAATGACCTTCAACCAGAAGCAACTAAACCATGGTCTCAACTCTCAAATGCAAACTGCACCGAAGTCACTGTCGCTAGTGTCTTACAAGTATGTTTTCTTATTAACTCAAACAATTTGGGGTTGGGTGTTTCGTTTTTTTTAAAGTCCCCTTTATTGCTGATGTCACTGAACTGTAAACCCAGGACCCCCGACTCCCCGCTGAGACCAGACAGGAAATCAGGCCTCAGGAGGGCAAGACCTACAGGGGCGAGGAGGAATGCTCACCTCGGAGAAGGGCCATGGCAGCAGCCAGAGTAGGTAGCACCGGATTCCTCCTCCAACAAAGCTCGGGCGCTGCGGCCCAGGCCCGGATCTACGAACCCCCAGGACGGCGCATGCGAGGTCAGGTCCCCGCCCTTTCACCTACTTCCTCTCCGGACGCCCCGGCCCGCCCTAGGCGGGCATCAGACTGGGGCGCCGGGACTGATCCCCACGCCTCCCCCTCCCCGGAAACGGGCCTGGGAGAAAAGACCGTCCCTGGCGAGCCGGTTTATCTCCGCACATCCTCGTTTTTAAAGGCTTTACTGTTTCCAAAGTGAGAATGATTTGACTCTACCCACCCTGTCCCTGTCCTTTATAAGTAGCACCCCACCCCTCATCGACAGGTAATTAACATTTCCCTCCACGCCTGAGGATGCTCTTAAACGTGGGGCTAGACAGACTGCCACCCCATTGGCAGAAGTGCGTGCGAGAGGCGGGCGGGTGGGCGGGGACGGCGCGGGGCGGGGCTGGTCAGGCGCGTCCGGCCCGGTGGCTCACGGGCCCCGGCGGGCCTTTGAGCAGACAAAGGACCGGGGGCCGGTGTGTGCAGTCGGTGGGTCGCCGAGTGGGGGCGGGGAGGGTGATGTAGGAGGGCGATGCCGTAAGGGGAGGGTCGTAGGGCAGGGGTGCCCCCGGGTCCGGTTGCGGCCCCCAGGATGAGCCCGCAGTATTTTCCTTATATGATTGGGCCCTGTGGCTGGCGGCGCTGCCTGCCCTGAGCCTGAAAGGATTATGAGACCGAGTCTGGCGAAGTGGGGCCAGAGACCGGGGGCGGGGAGATGAGAGGAGGAGCAGCGGGTTAGGCTAGAGATGGGGGACGCTTAGGGAGGCCTCTTCCGCTGTCACTGTGAGCCCTGGTCGATGATGACGAGACCACTGCGCAATCTGAGTTCTGGAAACCAGGTGATGGAGTGTGTTCTGAGAACAGACTGAGACCGGGCGAGCAGGAGGCGACCGGAGCAGAGATGGGGGAGATCCGCATCGCTGGGGCTGGAGGAGAGCCAGGCTGCTCAGGGCTGGGTTCCCGGCGGTGGGAGGCTTTGAGGTTTTCTGGGAGCCATCAGAGAATGCGGGTCCCGGAACCTCGCTTTTCAAACGCCTTGGTGGACCTCTCTCGCGTTGTGTTTATTTTCTGATTCCATTATTTTTTATTATGAAAACTTTTGAACAGAAAGTGGTAACATTTTTTCAAGGAACATCCATATACTCATCACCTGTATTCTACAACTGTTAACACTTTTCCATATTTGCTCTATCACATCCGCCTATCTGTTCTATTAAACCATGTTATTTTTTTAATGCAGATCTTAGTACAATTCACCCACATGTTAGAGGTCAATATTTATTTAGTTTTTTTAAGGAAAAATCCCGATGCAATCAATTGTACGAATCTTAAGTTGGATGAGTTTTGCAAATGCATACTTTTAAAAATTGTATTTGATCGATTATGCTATTGCAATTGTCTTGATTTTTTCCCCCTTTGCCCCCCTCCACCCAGCAGCCCCCACTCCCTCAGGCAGTCCCCCACACCATTGTTTCTGTCCATGGGTCATGCATATAAATGTTTTGGCTACTCCATTTCCTATACTGTACTTTACATCCCTATAGCTATTCTGTAACTACCTGTTTGTAATTCTTAATCCCCTCACGTCTCCACCCATTCCCTACATCCCAATCCCATCTTGGAACCATCAAAATGCTCTCCATATCCTTGATTCTGTCTCCATATCCTTGATTCTGTCTCCATTCTTATGTGCTTAGTTTTTTTTTTTTTTTTTTAAGACTCAGTTGATAGATATGCATTTATTGCCATTTTATTGTTAATAGTTTTGATCTTGTTCTTAAATAAGTCCTATTATATTTCATATAATAATGGTTTGGTGATGATGAACTCCTTTAGGGTTTTTTTCTAGGAAACTACGTGCACTTCTATTCTAAATGATAGCTTTGCTGGGTAGAGCAGTAGTGGCTGTAGGTCCCTGCTTTTCATGACTTTGAATATTTCTTGCCAGTTCCTTCTGGCCTGCAGAGTTTCTTTAGAGAAATCAGCTGACAGTCTTAGTTAGGGGAGTTGCCGTGTAGGTAACTGCTTTTCTCCTGCTATTTTTAAGATCTCTTTTTATCTTTAACCTTTGCCATTTTAATATGATGTGTCTTGGAGTGGGACTCTGTGCTTCCTGATTTGCATGACTCCTTCACCAGATTAAGAAATTTTTCTTTCAGACCTGGCTGGTATAGCTCAGTGGATTGAGTGCTGGCCTGCGAAACAGACAATTGGGGTTCGATTCCCAGTCAAGGGCACATGCCTGGGTTGCAGGCCGGTTCCCTGCAGGCCAGTTCCCAGAAGGGGACGCATGAAAAGCAACCATACATTGATGTTTCTCCTCCTCTCTCCTTCCCTTCCCCTCTAAAGATAAATAAAAATCTTAAAAAATTTATTAAAAATTTTTTTCTTTCATTATTTTTTTCGAATAGTTTTCCAATTTCTTACCCTTCTCCTTCTGGCACCCCTATGATATGAATGTTAGACTGTTTGAAGTTGTCCCAGAGGCTGCTTATACTATTGATGTCATTTTAAAATAATATTTTTTCTTGTTGCTCTGATTGGTTGTTTTTTGCTTCTTGATGTTCCAAATCATTGATTTGATTCTTGGCTTCATCCACTACTGTTTCTTATTTCAGTTGGTGTATCCTTTGTTTCTGCCTGGATCTTTTTTATGCTGTTGAGGTTCTCAGCAGGTTCCTGGAACATTCTTATAACTGTCACAGTACAGGGACGGGGGTGGGGGGGGCGATAGAACTATTACTGAAAGGATCCCCACTAGGTTCGCTTGTCCATTGCCAGAAGAAAGATGTCTCTCAATGACAGATTTGTGAAAAGGAAAGGAAATGTTTATTTAAAGCTATACAGACTTAAAGTGGTGACCGAATGTCTTCATTAAAATATCAAAGTCCTTTAGGATACCTACAGATACACACAGTTCTTCCTTTTCCCTCTGCCCTGATTTGGGGTACCGTATCTCAGGAAAAGTAGATTCAGGCTCCCAGCACTCTCAACTGTGTTGTCGGCCAGGATTAAGCCAAGTGGTTCTCCTTTGCAAAGCTGCGTGGTTCTCCCTTTGCCAAAACTACATGGTGATTCTCTCACGTGGCTGTGGGGGTCCCCACTCTGGCCAAAGCCGAGTGGTTCTGTCCACCAAGCTGGGAGGGTCTGTACTCTGACAAAACTGCGTAGTTCTCCCCTTAATGGCTGCCTCGTCTGGGTTTAAATCCCCGAGCCAGTCTTCCTCTGCATCCCCATTTTCAACTCCTCCCACAATCGGCTACACCTGCCAGCACTCCCATATCCTTCCAGCTATACTGGGCTGCCATAGTGGATCTGGGCAGGCGAGGCCCCATGGCATGGAGCCAGTCATCTCCAAGCTGTCACGCTGGCACTGTAATCAGGGGAAATTGCCTTCTAGTTACATCTTGGGTGGAAGTCACTTTCATCCCTCTGGCTCAATGCATGGCCACAGCTATTTAACATATCTATGAAACCAGTTAGAGGTTATAGATATGTTAAATGGCCATGCCAGCAGTTAGCTGCAAAGCTGTTGCTGTACAAAACAGCTCTGTATGTTCCTGTTCCATGCGTCCCTTCCCCCAACTCACACCTGTGGGCGGGGAAGGGGTGAGGACATCTTACATATCTTTCTAATATTTCCTGGACACTTTGAACCCCATTCCAAATCCCTATTTGCCGCCCCCCTCTTGGCTGCACCCTGTTATGTAACCAGTGTTTTGAATTCTACATCTGATAGATTGCTTATCTCCATTTCTTTTAGCTCTTTTTCTGGAGTTTTAATCTGTTTTTTCATTTGGGCCACATTTCTTTATCTCCTCATTTTGGCAGCCTCCCTGTGTTTGTTTCTGTGTATTAGGTAGAGCTGCTTTGACTTTGTCTTGGTCGTGTGGGCTGATATAGTAGGTGTGCTATAGGGTCCAGTGGCACAGCCTCCCCTACCACCCAAGCTGGGTCATCGAGGTGGGCCCTTTGTGTGGGCTGAGTACACTCTGTTGTTGTAGTTGAGCCTTGGTTGCTGTTGGCAGATCAATGGGAGGGATTTACCCAGGCCAGTCAGCTGCAAGGATTGGCTGTGACCACTGACCACCAGCCTCTACACCCCTGGAGGATCAGCTGTGCAGGGGCAGGGTGGTGTGGTCTATAGCTGCCCACTGGGCACACTGGCTCTGGAGTTTCCCAGGTAGTGTAGGTCATGGCCAGCCCCTACCTATGTTCTGCCTGGGGCCACCCTACCTGAATTGTAAAGCAATCTGAGATGGCTGCTACTTGTGCTGGGCTTAGAGATTCCCAGGCAAAGTCAAGCTGTGAATTCTAGGCTGGCTGCTGCTGGTGCCAGGTCTGGGGCTCACTGAGGCCAGCTGTTGCTTATTTGAGAGGATTTAGGAGGTTGTGCTGTATGAGCCAAGACCAGCCATTCACATGGAAAAGAGGCTTGCTGCCTTTGTGGCCCCATGTGGGGAGGGTTCAGAAAAGGGACAATGGCCTCTGCCCACCTGTATGTCAGACTCTTTAGTTTCTCCCAGGACGCTACTGGTGCCTTTCAAACTGCTGCCCCCCCCCCCCCCCATGCTGGAGCACAAAGAGTGTGAGTTTGAGTAGGTGAGTCTGTATGTACTTTCTTTAAGAAGAACTGTTTGGGGCCCCAGAAGTTTCCACCGACTCAGTCCCCACTGGTTTTTGCAGCCAGAAGTTGTGGTTGTGGGGACTTATCTTCCTGTCCTCCTATACTGCCATCGTCTTGAATCTTCTCTTTACATGTTGCTTTATGAAGGAGAACAGTCTTTTCCTCCTGTGTCATTGGTCAGAATGAAGTTGCATGGCCACGCCACAGCAGCAGAAGTGGCTGGGGAAACACATGTCCGGCCTTTTCAGCTTCTGTCTTAGAAAGTGGGCTCTGCCAAGGAGGGTAGAAGCTGGAAAAGACTGTTATGTAAGTGGCCATCAGTGTCAGACACAAAGGCCTTCGTGAGTAATTGCACAGTAGGGTTTCGTACAGCCTGCTTCCCTCACGCTGCGTGTTGCCACCTT